ATTTGAGGATCTGAGGACCCATGCCAAATCTTTTTTGTCTCCTGAGGGGGAATAGGCTTTGTCGTGCCCTCTTCACGACTGTCTTGGTGTGTTTGGACCATGATAGTTCGTTGGTGATGTGGACACCAAGGAACTTGAAGCTCTCAACCTGTTCCACTACAGCCCCGTCGATGAGAATGGGGGCGTGCTCAGTCCTCTTTTTTTTCCTGTAGTCCACAATCATCTCCTTTGTCTTGGTCATGTTGAGGGAGAGGTTGTTGTCCTGGCACCCCACGGCCAGATCTCTGACCTCCTCCCTATAGGCTGTCTCATCGTTGTCGGTGATCAGGCCTACCACTGTTGTGTCTTCGGCAAACTTAATGATGGTGTTGGAGTCGTGCCTGGCCATGCAGTCATGGGTGAACAGAGAGTACAGGAGGGGACTGAGCACGCACCCCTGAGGGGCCCCCGTGTTGAGGATCAGTGTGGCAGATGTGTTGGTACCTACCCTTACCACCTGGGGGCGGCCCGTCAGGAAGTCCAGGATCCAGTTGCAGAGGGAGGTGTTTAGTCCCAGGATCCTTAGCTTAGTGATGAGCTTAGAGGGCACTATGGTGTTGAATGCTGAGCTGTAGTCAATAAATAGCATTCTCACGTAGGTGTTCCTCTTGTCCAGGTGGGAAAGGGCAGTGTGGAGTGCGATAGAGATTGCATCATCTGTGGATCTGTTGGGGCGGTATGCAAATTGGAGTGGGTCTAGGGTTTCTGGGATTATGCTGTTGATGTGAGCCATGACCAGTCTTTCAAAGCACTTCATGGCTACAGACGTCAGTGCTACGGGTCGGTAGTCATTTAGGCAGGTTACCTTAGTGTTCTTGGGCACAGGGACTATGGTGGTCTGCTTGAAACATGTTGGTATTACAGACTCAGTCAGGGACATGTTGAAAATGTCAGTGAAGACACTTGCCAGTTGGTCAGCACATGCTCGGAGTACACGTCCTGGTAATCCGTCTGGCCCTGCGGCCTTGTGAATGTTGACCTGCTTAAAAGTCTTACTCACATCGGCTACGGAGAGCGTGATCACATAGTCGTCCGGAACAGCTGGTGCTCTCATGCATGCTTCAGTGTTGCTTGCCTCGAAGCGAGCATAGAAGTGGTTTAGCTCGTCTGGTAGGCTTGTGTCACTGGGCAGCTCGCGGCTGTGCTTCCCTTTGTAGTCTGTAATAGTTTTCAAGCCCTGCCACATCCGACGAGCGTCAGAGCCAGTGTAGTATGATTCAATCTTAGACCTGTATTGACTCTTTGCCTGTTTGATGGTTCGTCGGAGGTCATAGCGGGATTTCTTATAAGCGTCCGGGTTAGAGTCCCGTTCCTTGAAAGCGGCAGCTCTACCCTTTAGCTCAGTGCGGATGTTTCCTGTAATCCATGGCTTCTGGTTGGGGTATGTACGTACGGTCACTGTGGGGACGACATCATCAATGCACTTATTGATGAAGCCAGTGACTGATGTGGTGTACTCCTCAATGCTGTCTGAAGAATCCCGGAACATGTTCCAGTGTGTGCTAGCAAAACAGTCCTGTAGCTTAGCATCTGCGTCATCTGACCACTTTTTTATTAACCGAGACTGGTGCTTCCTGCTTCAGTTTTTGCTTATAAGCAGGAATCAGGAGGATAGAGTTATGGTCAGATTTGCCAAATGGAGGGCGAGGGAGAGCTTTGTATGCGTCTCTGTGTGTGGAGTAAAGGTGGTCTAGAGTTTTTTTCCCTCTGGTTGCACATTTAACATGCTGGTAGAAATTAGGTAGAACGGATTTAAGTTTCCCTGCATTAAAGTCCCCGGCTACTAGGAGCGCTGCATCTGGATGAGCGTTTTCCTGTTGATTAATGGCCTTGTACAACTAATTCAGTGCAATCTTAATGCCAGCATTGGTTTGTGGTGGTAAATAGACAGCTATGAAAAATATAGATGAAAACTCTCTTGGTAAATAGTGTGGTCTACAGCTTATCATAAGATACTCTACCTCAGGCGAGCAAAACCTCGAAACTTCCTTAGTATTTGATTTTGTGCACCAGCTGTTGTTTACAAAGATACACAGACCGCCGCCCCTTGTCTTACCGGAGTCTGCCGTTCTGTCCTGTCGATGTAGCGTATAGCCTGCTAGCTGAATGTTATCATTGTTGTCGTTCAGCCACGACTCCGTGAAACATAAGATATTACATTTTTTAATGTCCCGTTGGTAGGATAACCGTAATCTTAAATCGTCAATTTTATTCTCAAAAGATTGAACGTTGGCTAATAGGATTGATGGGAGAGGCAGTTTACTCGCTCGCCGTCGGATCCTTACAAGGCACCCGGATCTGCGTCCACGATATCTCCGTCTCTTCCTCACGCGAATGACGGGGATCTGGGCCTTGTAGGGTGTCTGTAGGATATCCTTCGCGAACGCCTCGTTGAAGAAAAATTATTCGTCCAATGCGAGGTGAGTAATCGCTGTCCTGATATCCAGAAGCTCTCTTTGGTTATAAGAGACGATGGCAGAAACATTATGTACAAAATAAATTACAAATAACGCGGAAAAACACACATAATAGTACAATTGGTTAGAGGGCTGTAAAACGGCAGCCATCTTCTCCGGCGCTGTCTCAAACTCTGTAATACATCCATAGAGACCAAAGATAACCCTGAAGGAGCTGCAAAGCTCCACAGCAGAGATTGGAGTATCTGTCCATAGGACCACTTTAAGCCGTACACTCCACAGAGCTGGGCTTTACTGAAGAATGGCCAGGAAAAAAGCCATTGCTTAAAGAAAAAAAATAAGCAAACACGTTTGGTGTTCGCCAAAAGGCATGTGGGAGACTCCCCAAACATATGGAAGAAGGTACTCTGTTCAGATGAGACCAAAATTGAGCTTTTTGGCCATCAAGGAAAACGCTATGTCTGGCGCAAACCCAACACCTCTCATCACCCCGAGAACACCATCCCCACAGTGAAGCATGATGGTGGCAGCATCATGCTGTGGGGATGTTTTTCATCGGCAGGGACTGGGAAACTGGTCAGAATTGAAGGAATGATGGATGGCGCTAAAAACAGGGAAATTCTTGAGGGAAACCTGTTTCAGTCTTCCAGAGATTTGAGAATGGGACGGAGGTTCACCTTCCAGCAGGACAATGACCCTAAGCATAATGTTAACGCAACACTTGAGTGGTTTAAGTGGAAACATTTAAATATTTTGGAATGGCCTAGTCTAAGCCCAGACCTCAATCCAATTGAGAATCTGTGGTATGACTTAAAGATTGCTGCAAAAGGTGGCTCTACAAAGTATTGACTTTGGGGCGGTGAATAGTTATGCACGCTCAAGTTTTCGTTTTTTTTGTCTTATTTCTTGTCTCACAATAAATATGTTGCATCTTCAAAGTGGTAGGCATGTTGTGTAAATCAAATGATACAACCCCCCCCCAAATCCATTTTAATTCCAGGTTGTAAGGCAACAAAATAGGAAAAATGCCAATGGGGGTGAATACTTTCGCAAGCCACTGTATGTATGTATGTATGTTGTTTTTATATTGAAAATTATGTTGTCGGTATTTCGAAATACCCCGGTAATACGGTATATCGCACAAGCCTAGTGTGTATTCATTCAGTGACGTGACATGTTCTGAATGTTGCAGATAGAAATAGCATGAAAAGAGCTGACAGACAATCATATCACTTCTAACATCCTCTTGAACAGGCCCCAGATTGTTGTTATAACTTATTTTTTGTACCTTTTATTTTATCAGGGAGTCATACCGAGACCAAGGTGTATTTTACAGATGAGCCCTGAATTGCGTAAATTACAGAAAATACACACATCAATATAAATACAAAATGCAAGCAAAAAATGTCTTCAATCAGCTTTCTGAATTGCCCTAGAGGAACCAAAACATCAAATTTAAGTGCAAGAAAGCTAAATCAGCTTTTAGTTAAATCAGTAGAGACCAAAGGAATTTCCAGAGTTAGCTGTCCCTGAGACCGGGTGTGGTAACTCATGTCTAAAGTTTAGTAAAGATGTGAGGTACAGTGGGACTTTTTGTAATACGTAGCAATGTATCAACCTACGTGACATCAGAGGGCCAACCAACTTTCTAGTAGAGAATGCAGTGATGAGTACTAAAATTGGCAGCTGTGTTCATATAGATGTCGCCATAGTCTAGGACCGATAGGAACGTTGACTGAATAATCTTCTTTCTACTATTTAGCGAGAGGCAGGACCTATTGCTATAGAACAGTGTTTCCCAAACTCTATCCTCTGTAATACACTACACAGCTTATTCAAATAATCAACTAATCAAGCTTTGCTCGTTTGAATCAGCTGTGTAGTGTTAGGGCAAAAACTAAAACGTGCTCCACTTGGGGTCCCGAGGACCGAGTTTGGGAAACCCTGCTATAGAAGAAGCCCATTTTGATTCTCAGCTTCTTAACTCATCAATATGCATTTTAAAAGAGAGCTTTTCAACTATCCAGATACCCAAATATTTGGGTAAGCAGGGACACGATCAATATGGACACCATCCAAAGTACATATGCTTAAGTCACCAGTTATTTGTATGTGCTCTAGAGAACATGTACTTAGTTTACCTGCATTTACCTAATTTCAGGTCAATAAAGTGTTTCTGTAATACAATGAAAGCATACTGTATTTCAGATAGAGCCTGCTCAACCGTGGGGGCAATGGCATACACAACAGCATCATCGGCATACAAGTGCAGGTTACAATTTTTTACAGACAAGTTGATATTGTATCCAGGAAACCTGATTTACACAATACAATACAGCTGAGCTATCTGACACCCAGATAAAGGCCCACTGTTGTCTAATGAAGGATGTGTAAATACGGCATAGAAAACGCCTGTTTGACGAAGACACACACACACACACACACAGTTTATACACACAAGATAATGACACACGGAGGAATCTAGCAATGTGGAACTCAACTCACCTGCTCATCCATGTCTCCTTTCCTCCTCTCCCTGCAGCACAAGTCGATGTCCTGACGGCTGCTCTGAGAGCCACCACCATAGACTCTCACCTAGAGGATGCCTTCCTGGAGCCCCGGGACAGCCAGGGTGTACACCACCACCACAACCCCTTTGGAGTGCACCAAATGCCCCTCATAGGAGACTACTCCGACATGGAGGTGAGGGGGAATGGGTGGTGAAGGCCTACCTTTTTTTGGGGTGGGGGATGATGTCACGCCTTTAGAGAAAAAGGTGCAGGGTTGTTGGGTTGTCATGTTTGACCGTAGTTACTCTTGGTGTGTATCTGTGTAGAGCCGAACCTCGACCCTGCAGATGAGCCACGGCGATGACTCTGAGCTGAGCGACAGCAGCTTCAGTCCAGAGGATGAGAAGAAATCCAAGCATCAGGATGTGATCCCCCAGGCCCTGCTGGACCAGTACCTGTCCATGACAGACCCTTCCAGAGCCCAGACGGTGGACATGGAGATCGCCAAGCACTGTGCCTACAGCCTGCCCGGTGTGGCCATGACCCTGGGCAGACAGAACTGGCACTGCCTCCGGGATACCTACGAGACCCTGGCCTCCGACATGCAGGTGGGTCTACACTCTATTTCTATATGCATCTCCCATACACACGCCCTCTGTCAATTCTACTGTACATGTTTTGGAGGGAAAGTGTTTGACCTTCCAAGGTGATGAACACATTCAGTAGAAAGCAATTTGTAAGTCGCTCTGGATAAGAGCGTCTGCTAAATTACGTAAATGTAAAGCAACGTGGAACTTTTTAGATCTAAATAGATTGTGTAGAACCTTGCCCACTTGTAGAGTTGGCTCTATTCACATCAGCTCTAATGGCAACGTTTCTACAGTATCTCAACGTTCCACAACGTTGCACCCTCCTCAACGTACCCCTGGTGTGGTTAGCATGTAGCCTAGCGGTGTGGTTAGCATGTAGCCTAGCAGTGTGGTTAGCATGCAGCCTAGAAGTGTGGTGCTCTGCGCTCTCTCTCACTGTGGTCTATTTCTTCCTCCGCCAGCTGGTTATTGTCGGGGGGTGCCTTGATAGAGACAGGGCCTAGACTGGAGCATGGGGCAGGTTTACTTTTATTTCTGCTCCTCCTCGAGCACCTTTTTTATTCATTTGTGTTTCTCCAAAGCCCAATGTGTGGTTATTTTTGTTTGTTTGTTGGGTTCCCAACTGCAGTCCTCAAAAATAAATTCCTGTCCCCTCACCATTCAGTCCTCAACCACAGAGTTTGCCTGTCTGCAAAGGAACACCTTTTGCCTCAGGCGCCACAGCCCAAAGGGCTTGTCACCTTTAGCCTCAGGCGCCACAGTCCAAAGGGCTTGTCACCTTTTACCTCAGGCGCCACAGCCCAAAGGGCTTGTCACCTTTTGCCTCAGGCGCCACAGCCCAAAGGGCTTGTCACCTTTTGCCTCAGGCGCCACAGCCCAAAGGGCTTGTCACCTTTTACCTCAGGCGCCACAGCCCAAAGGGCTTGTCACCTTTAGGCTCTGGTCAGACTCAACCCCCAATCAGCTAGCTGGAGGCAGGAAGCATGAGGACTGGAGTTGACCTGCCCCCCATGTAAGGCCTGTGTATGCGTTTGCTACTGTGTCGTCGTCGTCCCCCCCCCCCCCCCCCCCCCCCCCGGCAGCTCCCTGTGTCCCACACACACTCATACCAGGGTTTCCGTTAGGAAAATGTGGCGCTGGACATTTGACCGGCAGCATTTTAATTTACCGGACATTCAAGAAATTTACTGGACCCATATGCATTGGGTGCGTAACCCGATTAGGGCGTCCACCCATGGTGCTCAGAATTACAGAAATCACATTTAGACTATGGTCAATCATATTAACAGAACATGTCAAGGATGCAATGATGTGCAGTCCTTCTTACCTAATTCTGATGCGCACTTTGAAGACGTTAGAATAACTGTCCACATTTACTTTTCCTCAGCCAACAAGACGAGTAATGAACAACAAAATCACTAGCCTATGTCAATCTACTATCCCCCATAGTAGAAAAGTTGACCTATTCCATTGGTCAGCTTGTTGAGAAAGAAATAGCCCATTCCTAACAGACCCTGGGACAGTTGTGGGACGATAGATCCCAAATTCATACAACCAGTAGGCCTAGGCTACATAAATAATTAAAAACGTTAAAAAGCTATGAGTCTGATGCAACAGATCAGAACGTTTAGCTTAAATTGTTGATAATCTATTATTTATTCACGTTATAAGCGCAGCAATGCGCACAAGGCAGTATGCTATGCGCAAATGTTCGTTCTGTAATTCAATTAGCGGGAAAACACTTCAAAAGCGCAGCGGTTTCATGTGACAGATGAAAATATCCATTAGAAATGTAGAAAGAGGGGAGATCTAATATGCAACAGCTAGCATGGGTTGCTAATATTACTAGGATTGTGCCTTTAGCTACAGGATAATGAAAGAAAGTTGATAAAATTGCCTCCACGAATATGGTCTGATTTTGGCTAGGCTACTTAGAAGCAAGGTAAGACATGCCTCATGTAGTAAAACCATTCAGGTTTCATACAATGTAAGTATATGTTTTCAAAATGCATACTGCCTCTAGCTCATTGCAAAGTGGTGTGTGACGCGCTGATGAAGGTGGCCTTCCGTTGCTTATGCATTTACTGTAGCAGCAGCTCTCGTGCTGTCTGACCGATTTTCTGCTCAAAGGCTCTGTATCTGTGTGATAAATAAGATGCATAACGAATATACTGTACACGCGTCAATTTAATGTAACTAAATTATGCAAATTAACCTATAGACCGATAAGCATGACCAGTTTTATGGGCTAACGGAAACCCTGACTCATACACACCCTTTAACACCTCTGGGCCTGCCTGGGCTCTAATATCTCTCTCTGTCCCTCTCCCTCCCCCAGTGGAAGGTGCGTCGGACGCTGGCGTTCTCCATCCACGAACTGGCCCTGATCCTGGGGGACCAGCTGACAGCGGCCGACCTGGTGCCCATCTTCAACAGCTTCCTCAAGGACCTGGACGAGGTGCGGGTAGGGGTCCTCAAACACCTCTACGACTTCCTCAAGGTCAGCAAACGAGTATAAAGAGACTTGATAAAGAATTTATATTTCTCAAGAGTACCATCTCTTCTTAAATCTTTGTGTTATCATTAGAATGGATAGCTAGCCTGTCATTGCCCATCTGTTGTCCCTTTCACATCCCTGCTTTCTGTTTTATCAATTAGTTGACTGCAGCAGAAATGTTTCTACTGTTCCAAATGGCTCATATTTACAATAGTGCTGCAGTGTGCGATGATGGTATCCAAGGACACCTGCAGTGTCTTCTGTTATGCAGTGTAGAATTTCACTGTTCTGCTGTGTGGTGAAAGGGGATCAAATAACCTCTTTCACCTCCCCCCTTTCCTCAATCTTCTCTCCATTCATCCTCCAGCTCTCATATTCCTTCGCTTGCACTCTCTGTCCACACTCACCCTGTCCCCCCCCCCTCTCTCCCTCTAGCTGCTGCACCAGGAGACGCGGCGTAAATACCTGTACCAGCTCCAGGAGTTCCTGGTCACAGACAACAGCCGCAACTGGCGCTTCCGATCAGAGCTGGCAGAGTAGGTTACCCTGTCTACTCTGCTACCACACTTTATTAATCAATTGATTTCCCCTGTGAACTTAGTTGTCACACACACACCATTACCACCCAGACAAGTGGTGGTAGCCCTAGGTATTGTTTGCGCTCTCAGACCTACAGTAAATATGAGGAGTGTAAGTGGTGCGAATCCAGGCTCTGTCGTAGCCGGCCGCGACCGGGAGACCCATGGGGCGGCGCACAATTGGCCCAGCGTCGTCCAGGGTAGGGGAGGGAATGGCCGGCAGGGATGTAGCTCAGTTGGTAGAGCATGGCGTTTGCAACGCCAGGGTTGTGGGTTCGATTCCCACGGGGGGCCGGTATGAAAAATAAAAAATAATGTATGCACTAACTGTAAGTCGCTCTGGATAAGAGCGTCTGCTAAATGACGTAAATGTAAATGGTGCCATTGCCTTTACATTCCTTTACTGTGTGTGGGTGAGGGAGTTAAACATAGAGATAGCCTTTTAAAATATTTACTCTTTTGGTGACATTTGGTTCTATGGGTCAGGATAATCTCTCTTCTGAAAGCTGACCAGTGACTGACCATCCCCTCTGTGTGTGTGTGTGTGTGTGTGTGTTCTCAGACAGCTGGTGCTTCTACTGGAGTTGTACAGTGGTCAGGATGTATATGACTACCTTCGTCCCCTGTCCTTCAGCCTGTGTACGGACAGAGTGTCCTCTGTACGCTGGACCTCCTACAAACTGGTATGTCACCCAGACAGCCCCCTCCAACATCGGCTCAGCCCTGTTTTTCTGACTTTCTGTATCTTTTTCTGGCCTCAGCAGATTTTTGGACTTTTTTTCATGTTGGGCCATTATATCTGTGATGAATATTTTACGTCTCCCTACCAATTCCACGCATGAACATCTCATGTTTTGATCTCTTTTATACACTGAACAAAAATCTAAACGCAACATCGTGTTAGTCCCATGTTTCATGAGCTGAAATAAAAGATTCCAGAATTTTCCATATGCACAAAAAGCTTGTTTCTCTCAAAAGTTTGTGTACAAATTAGTTTACATCCCTGTTAGTGAGCATTTCTCCTTTGCCAATATAATCCATCCACCTGACAGGCGTGGCATATCAAGAAGCTGATGAAACAGCATGATAACACAACACAATGCCACAGATGTCTCAAATTGAGAGATCATGCAATTGGCATGGTGATTGCAGGAATTTCCACCAGAGCTGTTGCCAGAGGATTGAATGTTCATTTCTCTACCATAAGCCGCCTCCAACGTCGTTTTTGAGAATTTGGCAGTACGTCCAACCGGCCTCACAACCGCAGACCACGTGTAACCATGCCAGCTAAGGACCTCCACAGTGTGTATGTTTACAAAAAAAAATGTCTTTACTATTTTTGTACATTGTAGAATAATAGTGAAGACATCAAAACTATGAAATAACACATATGGAATCATGTAGTAACCAAAAAAGTGTTAAACAAATCAAAATGTATTTTACATTTGAGATTCTTCAAATAGCCACCCTTTACCTTGATGACAGCTTTGCACATTCTTGGCATTCTCTCAACCAGTTTCATGAGGTAGTCACCTTGAATGCATTTCAATTAAAAGGTGTGCCTTCTTAAAAGTTCATTTGTGGAATTTCTTTCCTTCTTAATGCGTTTGAGCCAATCAGTTGTGTTGTGACAAGGTAGGGGGGGTATACAGAAGATGGCCCTATTTGGTAAAAGACCAAGTCCATATTATGGCAAGAACATCTAAAATAAGCAAAGAGAAACAACAGTCCATCATTACTTTAAGACATGACGGTCATTCAATCATGAAAATGTGAAGAACTTTGAAAGTTTTCAAGTGCAGTTGCAAAAACCATCAAGCGCTATGATGAAACTGGCTCTCATGAGGACCGCCACAGGAAAGGAAGACCCAGAGTTACCTCTGCTGCAGAGGATAAGTTCATTAGAGTTACCAGCCTCAGAAATTGCAGCCCAAATAAATGCTTCACAGAGTTCAAGTCACAGACATAAACATCAACGGTTCAGAGGGGACTGTGTGAATCAAGCCTACATTGCTGCAAAGAAACCACTACTAAAGGACACCAATAATAAAAAGAGACCTGCTTGGGCCAAGAAACACGAGCAATGGACATTAGACCGGTGGAAATTTGTCCTTTGGTCTGATGAGTCCAAATGTTTGGTTCAAACCGCTGTGTCTTTGTGAGATGCGGTGTGGGTGAACGGATGATCTCCGCATGTGTATTTCCCACCGTAAAGCATGGAGGAGGAGGTGTTATGGTGCGTTGCTTGTGACACTGTCAGGGATTTATTTAGAATTCAAGGCACACTTAACCAGCATGGCTACCACAGCATTCTGCAGCAATACGCCATCCCATCTGGTTTGGGCTTAGTGGGACTATCATTTGTTTTTCAACATGACAATGACCCAACACACCTCCAGGCTGTGTAAGGGCTATTTTACCAAGAAGGAGAGTGATGGAGTGCTGCATCAGATGACCTGGCCTCCACAATCCCTCGACTTCAACCCAATTGAGATAGTTTGGGATGAATCGAACGGTGGAGTGAAGGAAAAGCAGCCAACAAGTGCTCAGCCTATGTGGGAACTCCTTCAAGACTGTTGGAAAAGCATTCCAGGTGAAGCTGGTTGAGAGAATACCAAGAGTGTGCAAAGCTGTCATCAAGGCAAAGGGTGGCTATTTGAAGAATCTCAAATGTAAAATATATTTTGATTTGTTTAACACTTTTTTGGCTAATACATTATTGCATATGTGTTATTTCATAGTTTTGATGTCTTCACTATTATTCTACAATGTAGAAAATAGTACAAATAAAGAAAAACCCTTGAATGAGTAGGTTTGTCCAAACTTTTGACTGGTACTGTATATACAGTTGAAGTCGGAAGTTTACATACACTTAGGTTGGAGTCATTAAAACTTGTTTTTCAACCACTCCACAAATTTCTTGTTAACAAACTATAGTTTTGGCAAGTCGGTTAGGACATCTACTTTGTGCATGACACAAGTAATTTTTCCAACAATTGTTTACAGACAGATTATTTCACTTATAATTCACTGTATCACAATTCCAGTGGGTCAGAAGTTTACATACACTAAGTTGACTGACTTTAAACAGCTTGGACAATTCCAGAAAATGATGTCATGGCTTTAGAAGCTTCTGATAGGCTAATTGACATCATTTGAGTCAATTGGAGGTGTACCTGTGGATGTATTTCAAGGCCTACCTTCAAACTCAGTGCCTCTTTGCTTGACATCATGGGAAAATCAAAAGAAATCAAAAAATTGTAGACCTCCACAAGTCTGGTTCATCCTTGGGAGCAATTTCCAAATGCCTGAAGGTACCACGTTCATCTGTACAAACAAAAGTACGCAAGTATAAACACCATGAGACCATGCAGCCGTCATACGGCTCAGGAAGGAGACGCGCTCTGTCTCCTAGAGATGAACGTACTTTGGTGCGAAAAGTGCAAATCAATCCCAGAACAACAGCAAAGGACCTTGTGAAGATGCTGGAGGAAACAGGTACAAAAGTATCTATATCCACAGTAAAACAAGTCCTATATCGGCATAACCCAAAAGGCAGCTCAGCAAGGAAGAAGCCACTGCTCCAAAACCGCCATAAAAAAGCCAGACTACGGTTTGCAACTGCACATGGGGACAAAGATCGTACTTTTTGGAGAAATGTCCTCTGGTCTGATGAAACAAAAGTAGAACTGTTTGGCCATAATGACCATCGTTATGTTTGGAGGAAAAAGGGGGTGCTTGCAAGCCGAAGAACACAATCCCAACCGTGAAGCACGGGGGTGGCAGCATCATGCTGTGGGGGTGCTTTGCTGCAGGAGGGTCTGGTGCACTTCACAAAAGGAAGAGGAAGGAAAATTATGTGGATATATTGAAGCAACATCTCAAGATATCAGTCAGGAAGTTAAAGCTTGGTCGCAAATGGATCTTCCAAATAGACAATGACCCCAAGCATACTTCCAAAGTTGTGGCAAAATGGCTTAACGACAATAAAGTCAAGGTATTGGAGTGGCCATCACAAAGCCCTGACCTCAATCCAATAGAAAATTTGTGGGCAGAACTGAAAATGCGTGTGCGAGCAAGGAGGCCTACAAACCTGACTCAGTTAAACCAGCTCTGTCAGGAGGAATGGGCCAAAATTCACCCAACTTATTGTGGGAAGCTTGTGGAAGGCTACCTAAAACGTTTGACCCAAGTTAAACAATTTAAAGGCAATGCTACCAAATACTAATTGAGTGTATGTAAATTTCTGACCCACTGGGAATGTGATGAAAGAAATAAAAGCTGAAATCATTCTCTCTACTATTATTCTGACATTTCACATTCTTCAAATAAAGTGGTGATCCTAACTGACCTAAGACAGGGAATTTTTACTAGGATTAAATGTCAGGAATTGTGAAGAACTGAGTTTAAATGTATTTGGCTAAGGTGTATGTAAACTTCCGACTTAAACTGTACATATATATTAACACACACACACACACACACACACACACATATAACTTTAGTCATTCAGCAGACGCTCCTATCCAGAGCGACTTAGTGCATTCATCTTAAGATTGCTCGGTGGGACAACTACGTATCACAGTCATAGCTAGTACATTTTTCCTCAAAGTAGCTATCAGCAAAGTCGGTATTCCTTTTGTGTGTTGTCAGGTGAGTGAGATCATCAGGAAGGTGGCGTCGTGCCAGGTGCTGTTGGCAGACTTCCTGAGTGAGCTGGTGGAGAAGTTCTGCCACTCCCACAAGTGGTCGGGACGACAGGCCTTCACCTTCGTCTGTCAGGTGAGGACAGCTTCTCTTCATGTTCATCATTATTGTTCTCGTCATCTCAAACACAAAAATAATAATCCATTAACCACATTAAAACACTACTTCTACTAGTGGTCTATTTTTTGTAAAAATCCTATCAAATGAGTTTTTGCCTGTGTTTATTTCACATAAAGTAAGATTGCTGGGATATCTGCCAAGATTTAATTACGATTTTTAATTAAGGTCAGTTTTATTGAAGAGCCTTTAGTTTCCATCCTACAATATTACACAGTGAGTGGAGTGGCTATGGTAGCTAAGAGGACACTGTTTCCATTCTCTGTCCCACAATGTTTCTTGTGTGGGAGGACCATGAGATTATGATGACTCTTAAGTGTGTGAGACAGAGAGGTCAAATGTGTTAACTTGTGTGCATGCACACTTGCGCTTTCTTTTGTTCAGTCTCATGTATGCTCATACACTCCCTCATGTATGCTCATACACTCCCTCATGCATGCTCACACACATGGTCACATGCTCCCTGAATGTCTCAAACAAACACACACACACACACACACTTACCTTCCGCCTCTCTTGCTCTCAACACACACAAACACACACTCTGACCATCCTCCTTTTCTGTCTCTGTCAGCTGGTAATTGAGGATGACTGTGTGTCGTTGGAGCAGTTCTCGGAGCACCTGCTGGCCCCTCTGTTACAGCTGGCCTCCGACCCCGTGGCCAACGTCAGGGTGCTGCTGGCCAAGACTATCCGCCAGAGCCTGATGGAGAGAGGTACATGCAGACACACACCGGCATGTTGAGCTGACCAATTCCATAGTTAGTACAAGGACAACAAGCACTTATGGCTTATTTTGTTATATTGTGTAATACATTTTTTTATCAAAATATTTGTTTTACACTCGTCGCTCACAAATCAAACTTTATTTAGAGTACATTTCTTATAGGGGATGTATTTCAAATTGCTTAACAAATACAATTATAAAAGGTGAGAAAGATGAACAATACTTTTCCTAAATGGGACAAATTTTAAATGGATTAACATTGGACCTGAGAGACTAATGCATTTAAGTTATTAAAAATAAATAAGATACTTTTGGTAATGTAGTGTATGTGGACACCTGCTTGTCGAACATCTCATTCCAAAATCATGGGCATTAATATGGAGTTGGTTCCCCCTTTGCTGCTATAACATCCTCCACTCTTCTGAGAAGTCTTTCCACTAGATGTTGGAACATTGCTGCGGGGACTTGCTTCCATTCAACCACGGGCATTAGTGAGGTCGGGCAATGCGGTTGGGCGATTAGGACTGGCTCGCAGTCGGCCTTCCAATTCATCCCAAAGGTGTTTGATGGGGTTGAGATCAGGGTTCTGTGCAGGCCAGTCAAGTTCTTCCACACCAATCTCGACAAACCATTTCTGTATGGACCTCGCTTTGTGCACGGTGGCATTGTCATGCTGAAACAGGAAAGGGACTTCCCCAAACTGTTGCCACAAAGTTGGGAGCACAGAATCATCTAGAATGTTATTGTATGCTGTAGCGTTAAGATTTCGCTTCACTGGAACTAAGGGACCTAGCCCTAACCATGAAAAACAGCCCCAGACCATTATTCCTCCTCCACAAAACTTTACAGTTGGCACTATGCATTGGGGCAGGTAGCGTTCTCCTGGCATCCGCCAAACCCAGATTCATCAGTCGGACTGCCAGATGGTGAAGTGTGATTTATCACTCCAGAGAACGCGTTTCCGCTGCTCCAGAGTCCAATGGCGGCAAGCTTTACACCACTCCAGCCGATGCTTGGCATTGCGCATGTTGATCTTAGGCTTGTGTGCAGCTGCTCGGCCATGGAAACCCATTTCATGAAGCTCCAGACTAACAGTTATTGTGCTGACGTAGCTTCCAGAGGCAGTTTGTAACTCTGTAGTGAGTGTTGCAACCAAAGACAGACGATTTGTACGTGATACGCGCTTCAGTACTTGGTGGTCCCGTTCTGTGAGATTGTGTGGCGTACCACTTCGCGGCTGAGCCGTTGTTGCTCCTAAACGTTTCCACTTCACAATAACAGCACTTACAGTTGACTGGGGCAGCTCTAGCAGGGCAGATATTTGGTGAAGTCACTTGTTGGAAAGGTCGCATCCTATGACGGTGCCATGTTGAAAGTCACTGAGCTCTTCAGTAAATGCCATTCTACTGCCAATGTTTGTCTATGGAGATTGCATGGCTGTGTGCTCGATTTTATACACCTGTCAGCAACGGGTGTGGCTGAAATAGCCTAATCCACCAATTTGAAGGGGTGTCCACATACTTTTGTATATAGAGTGGGATAAAATAGACTAAAACCACCTTATGTGAGGGGAAAAAAGTATTTGATCCCCTGCTGATTTTATGTTTGCCCACTGACAAAGACATGATCAGTCTAAATTGAATGGTAGGTTTATTTGAACAGTGAGAGACAGAATAACAACAAAAAAATCCAGAAAAACGCATGTCAAAATTTTTATAAATTGATTTGCATTTTAATGAGGGAAATAAGTATTTGACCCCTCTGCAAAACATGACTTAGTACTTGGTGGCAAAACCCCTGTTGGCAATCAGAGGTCAGACGTTTCTTGTAGTTGGCCACCAGATTTGCACACATCTCAGGAGGGATTTTGTCCCACTCCTCTTTGCAGATCTTCTCCAAGTCATTAAGGTTTCGAGGCTGATGTTTGGCAACTCGAACCTTCAGCTCCCTCCACAGATTTTCTATGGGATTAAGGTCTGGAGACTGGCTAGGCCACTCCAGGACCTTAATGTGCTTCTTCTTGAGCCACTCCTTTGTTGCCTTGGCCGTGTGTTTTGGGTCATTGTCATGCTGGAGTACCCATCCACGACCCATTTTCAATGCCCTGGCTGAGGGAAGGAGGTTCTCACCCAAGATTTGACGGTACATGGCCCCGTCCATCGTCTCTTTGACGCGGTGAAGTTGTCCTGTCCCCTTAGCAGAAAAACACCTCAAAGCATAATGTTTCCACCTACATGTTTGACAGTGGGGATGGTGTTCTTGGGGTCATAGGCAGCATTCCTCCTCCAAACACGGCGAGTTGAGTTGATGCCAAAGAGCTCCATTTTGGTCTCATCTGACCACAACACTTTCACCCAGTTCTCCTCTGAATCATTCAGATGTTCATTGGCAAACTTCAGACGGGCCTGTATATGTGCTTTCTTGAGCAGGGGGACCTTGCGGGCGCTGCAGGATTTCAGTCCTTCACGGCGTAGTGTGTTACCAATTGTTTTCTTGGTGACTATGGTCCCAGCTGCCTTGAGATCATTGACAAGATCCTCCCGTGTAGTTCTGGGCTGATTCCAGCCTTGTGTAGGTCTACAATCTTGTCCCTGACATCCTTGGAGAGCTCTTTGGTCTTGGCCATGGTGGAGAGTTTGGAATCTGATTGCTTCTGTGGACAGGTGTCTTTTATACAGGTAACAAGCTGAGATTAGGAGCACTCCCTTTAAGAGTGTGCTCCTAATCTCAGCTCGTTACCTGTATAAAAGACACCTGGGAGCCAGAAATCTTTCTGATTGATAGGGGGTCAAATACTTATTTCCCTCATTAAAATGCAAATCAATTTATAACATTTTTGACATGCGTTTTTCTGGATTTTTTTGTTGTTATTCTGTCTCTCACTGTTCAAATAAACCTACCATTAAAATTATAGACTGATCATTTCTTTGTCAGTGGGCAAACGTACAAAATCAGCAGGGGATCAAATAAAATTTTCCCTCACTGTAAAAGCACAGCTAAAAAGGTGTCTTAAGATCTTTCTTAAAAATGTCTACAGTTTGAGGCCCTCAAAAAGCATAGTATTAGATAAAGCTAAAATAAACATACGATAAAGCTGAAGATGATGATATGCTATTTAGCAGACACTTTTATCCAAAGCAACATAGTCATGCGTGCATACATTTTACGTATGGGTGGTCCCGGGAATTGAAACCACTACCCTAGCGTTAGAAGTGCCATGCTCTACCAACTGAGCTACAAAGGACCACTGGTATTATAGATGATTCTATGTTGATCCCAAATGCACAATAAGATTTTCTCAACTCAGATCTGTCTGATTGCTGTAGCCCAGGAATAATATTTTATTTTACAAGCCACTTTATTAATCCCCAATGAGGAAACACGACAAAGACTGCTTAAATCTGTAGTGTTACAACATGCTTATGTTCTTCCAGATATCGGCAGCTGAACCCTCATCACATCTGTCCGCCATGTTCTTCTGTCCTCCCCTGCAGAGTACTTCCTGCATTCTGCCAACTTCCACCAGGAGGCGCTGGAGCAGACCCTGGTGGCTCTGCAGATGGACCTGGACAAGGACGTCAAGTACTTTGCCAGCGTGCATCCTGGGAGTACACGCATCAGTGAGGACGCCATGAGCACCACCTCCTCGACCTACTGAGCCCAGAGCACTCCCACCCCTCCCTCTAAACACACACACTCCTCCATCTGCTCTACTGAACACAAGCCAGGTAGGGGGCCGAGGGCTTGAGGTAGCCCTCTTCTACGGGCACTTAGACTTCCATACATACACAACCACAAGTGGAAGACCTGCGCAACAACACAACTCGCCCAATGCAGTGCATCACAACTCGACTCACTACAACAGATTTTATTTTGTGGTTTAATTATATATTTTTTGCCACAGAAGCCTTAAGTGTCTTCCTTAAACGCAAAAAATACTTGAATGTCTGGAGTGGATTCGGTGAACAACACAACGAATGAAAAAAACGCACAGGAAACTGACCTATAAGGACCATTTCTCCCCCTCGGTTTCTCTCTCGATAGAATCCTCCCCAGACTTAGCGGAAAAGCCAGTATCTCACAAGCTTTATGGAAGCACGTAACAGGACGACTCTATCGAACTCAAAACGTTTAAACAAAATTTCTGTAATTGCTTTTCTCCTTTTTTGATACTGTATAAATTACTTATGCTGCATATTTAAAAAATAATCTGTACTATCGCAGCCTGGCAGTGGGGAGCTGTCGGTGGGAAAGGCACGGTTTGGGATACAGGGCTCCCGCCTCCATTGTTTTAACTCTAGTGCAGCACATTGTTGTACCCATAGACAGAGGGCCACCCCCTGGCATGCAGGGGGGGTCCTGTTGTCAATGAAAAATAACTTGTATTTTTTATTAATATTATGGCTGTTTGCAGCGTTTAAGGAAGCAGAGAGATATCCAATTGTAAAAGGTCAGCACACACTCACTTGAAACGGGGTATTTTAACCTGAGAATAAAATACTGCGACCCCATACCCCACCCCTTCCATTCTCCTTTTTTGCTTGGCCCGTCCCCCTTCCCTTCCTTATACCCTATCTGTACATATCTCTAGCAACCTTTTTCCATTTTGATCAAAGATCATGAATAGAATTGTGATACAATTTTGTTCTGTTTTACCTTTCTCAACATTAAATGAAATGAAATAAAAAGCAGGCACTAAAACTTGTAGGCGTTTTGGTTTGTGTGTAGAGGGGAGGGAGTGAAGGAGGGATGGGGACTGAGGGAGTGAAGGAGGGATGGGGACTGAGGGAGTGAAGGAGGGATGGGGACTGAGGGAGTGAAGGAGGGATGGGGACTGAAGGAGGGATGGGGACTGAGGGAGTGAAGGAGGGATGGGGAGTGAAGGAGGGATGGGGACTGAGGGAGGGAGTGAAGGAGGGATGGGGACTGAGGGAGTGAAGGAGGGATGGGGACTGGGGGAGGGAGTGAAGGAGGGATGGGGACTGAGGCTCTGGAACAGATCTCTCAGGACTTAAAGGGAATTTCACTCAAACGATCTTTTAGTATTTGTTTCATTAGTCCACTGTTGATACAGTCCCAACATGTTTTGCATGTCAGCAGTCACGATATTGGACTTTTAAGAAGAAAAATGCATCATTGTGATGTGGCTAGAGATACTTTTCTTCTTAAAAGTCTATTATCTTGACAACTTGACTTCTAACATGCAAAACATGTTGGGAGTCTATCAACAGTGGACTAATGGAAAAAAAATGCCAAAAGATCATTTGAGTGAAATTTCCCTTTTTAAGGCCAAAGAGGATTTTTGTATACAACAGGTGCCATGCCTTGGCTGGGATTCAATCAGATGGTGGATTATAGGCAATGTTCCCGCGTTCGCGGAGATCCCGTTTACGGTAAATGCTGCATATGTCAGCTCAATCGGAAATTGCCTTTAAAAGCTACAATGCCTATAACCCGCAATTGGATTGAATCCCGGCCCTTGTCAAACTACTGTTACAGAAGTAGGGTCTCGATTCCAATCCGTTTCGCGGGAGTTGTGTGTTATACAGTAGCACGTTTTGCAATTAAGGTCATTTCAGATTGAGTCAATCATATGCAGTCTCCGCGAATGCGGGAACATTGCCTTTTAAGTTTATATCGTTCTGTAGCGTGGATCTTCAGCACTACAGATTGAATCGATTCCCTAGCTCTTTGTTTTAAAGCATCAATCATCTACACCTGTCCAAAAATGTGGACACAATCGGAATGTGGAGAAGATCAGGACAAAGGTCTCATGTTAGAAACAGGCCTTAAAAGAACACAACTAACCCACCACTGTCATGTCCATCAACCAGTTTCCTTTACTATCAAAGATAATTTGCCTAAACCAAACCCTAATTCCTCATGTTCTTCATAAGATCCCTCCCTCTCTGCTTTTACAACCATCACAATAGCACCATTGTCCAACGCTGCAACAAGGATTTCTTCCTGCCCTGCACGCAACCCTGGTCATCGACTGCAGGTTTGGCAGGCTCACCATGCCAGGAGAACAGACGCGTCACGTGACCAGAGCCATCCTCCTGAGAGAAATTGGAGAAAGGCTTCTTTGTGAGGCCTGGGATTTACCAGACCACCCGGCAACACTTTGGTTGCGTACCAGCTGGGCACTGCCCACCGGCTATGTGAGCCAGCAACATGCTCCTCTCGTGTCTCTCCCCTTCTTTTCCTCTTCTCGCTTTGGGAGAAGTGGGACAAGCTGATTGGGACACCTGGGGTTGTGTGTCATCACCCAGGATGACAAGGAACTGTTAGGGAAGATCTCTTGTAGGAATTGAATGCTCCTGTAAAGAAACTCTTCATGTAGGAATGTTTATCATTCACTATATTGCACATAAATACAATTTAAAAAATACTTTTGCAGTTTAATGAAAATGGGGTGTGTGTATATACACATTTTCCTGCCACATTTCTAATGATATTGTTGCATTTACAGTAACGATTCAAAGCCAATGCCGCTGTTAGAAAGCCATTTGTCCTTATGCTCCTCCAAATGTTAAAGTACCTCACTGCTGACATAAACCACCTATTCACTCCTATAACCCACGCTTTCTGCATTGCTCTACTTGTGTACCATTTCAGGCCCAAATAACCACATTGTCTGTTTCACAAGACCTACTGGCTGCATGACAACTATAAATACTTGGAAGTTCATCAAGCAAATGTGAGGCGGCGTGAGAACAAGAACAAGTGGATTGAATGTTGGATATGACCTACTAGACGAATAAGGTTGGAGGAAGACGTTGCTGTTTTTTTGGCTTGTCTCGGGCTGCTCTGTGCCAGCCTTGGAGGCCTTTAGGCTACGTTTACACATGCAGCCCAATTATGTTCATTTTTTCACTAATTGGTCTTTTGAACAATCAGATGAGCTCTGAAAAATATCTGATGTGATTGGTCAAAAGACCAGAATTGGGCTGCCTGTGTAAACGCAGCCATACTAAAACCAAAAGTTGCAGACCTTTCATAAGTATTGCTAAGACATGAAGAATGGGGAATAAACCCAGAGGACTTGGGGCAATAACAACCGGATTCCTCTGTTGCATGACTTACACCTCACAGGCTGTGTTTAGACAGGCAGCCCAATTCTGATATTTTTTTCCACTAATTGGGTCATTTCACCCTCAAATCAGATCTTTTCACATCAGAGCTTTTCCATAGCTGATCTGATTGGTCAAAAGACCAATTTAGTGAAAATAATATCAGAATTGGGCTGCCTGTGTTGCCACAGTGGAACACAGTCCTGACCAAAACCGGATGCCCTAATTTTACCAGCCATTCAAATATTTTAAGAGCCATATCCGCACCCCCCCCCCCCCAAAAAAAATAAAAAATAATAAATAATAATAATTAAGATAAACCACAGAAAACATTGTACCCCACTTTCAACACTGCAGTGTTGAGATGCGCTCTTCCAGAGCTGACACGCACACCATTTTTTATTTTATTTTTTACATGTGGGTTTTGGGTTGAGAAAGAAGAAACTGCTCCCAAATGCTCAGTACGACTACCCGCAAATGTGGCTATTAAGAACAGACATTCTACCAGCCAATGCCAAAATCTACCAGCATGTGGCTGGCTGGTGTTAATTTCCCACCCTGTTTACTACCGTCAACTGTTACATTCTGGAGTGTGCATAGCAACATTACAGGTCCTAGATGTTTAGCTGTATCCTTATTGAAAAGTTAACATAACTGCGGGATTGCAGTACTCGGCAGGCGGGGGAGAAGGACACTGTGTACCAGTTTCCCCTAGCCTACTAAGCTAGCAGCCTGCTTCGGGGGTGTTTTTCGGCAATTGGCATCCAACGTTGGCGCATTAACGTCACTTACTGTGCTGGAGTGTGGGCCAGAGACGGCGCTAGCAGCACATCCACAGATATAACATCTTTGTTAAAACTACATACATCTTGAACAACTTTGATAGGTGAGGAAGATGGCGGAATATGAAGAAGAATGGAGTGAAAAGGGCTAAAGTTGGAAATGAAAAAGCAGTTTATGGTTGGAGTGCGATTCACGAGCAATTATGTTTTTTTGGTGACCCGTTTGCGGTCTCAAAGATGGTGAAGGATGAATTGGGTAAAGTGGAATCGGTTCGAGTGACCAGGAGCGGTATGATGCTGGTTTCGTGTGTGCCAACAGCGTAAAAGGAGAAAGCTCTGTGGCTCAACAAGATGTCGACGTATGATGTGGAAAGTTATGATTTTTAGAGTAGGGCACCGGTTAAAGGTGTCATCTCAGGTGTTTCGTTGGACGTAGAGGCTGTGTGGTTTAGGGATATCATTCCAGGAGTGGTAGACTGACGTCGATTGAATCGAATGCTGGACGGAAGGAGCAAAGTCTAATCGGTTTTACTGTCATTTGGTGAAGTGGTTCTCCCAATTTATGTCAAACTTGGGGATGAGACCGTATGTACAGAAGCGGTTGCAGTGTTACAATTGTAACAAGGACTTTACAGCCGAAATGATACAGGGAGTACTGAATGAAGAGGTTCCTGAGCAGGGACCTGAATAGTACAGTTTTTGTTTGAAATTCAGTGTAGTAGCGTGAATTTGGTTCGTGTTTATTTTAGTTATTTCTAGGTAATTAGTACGACTTGTTCATCCAAAACTTTTTTAGTTTTTGGGGTATTTTTTACTACCCTGTACAGTAGGTGGCGGCAATACACCGTTATGAGTGTAGACTGCCAAAAAAAACTCGGAAGAAACTGAGGTTTTGTTAACTGCTAGTGAGTCGGGTGAAGATAATAGTACAGCAAGTGAGAATAAGTGGGTTACTGCTGCGAAGAAAAAGGGAAACGAGCATTAAAGCTGTGGTGGAAAATAGGAAACCACTAGACTCGTTTTTAGTCGGAGTAAGGGTTTTGGATCAATGCTACTTGGGAAATCTGTTTAACGTCTCAAGGAAAATCTGGAATGTGTTGAAGGAAATTGTGGAGTTGGTGAGTCACAAGAAGCGGTCTTATTTAGATGTTTGTGTGTCTGCGGAGCAGAAGAAGCGTGTTTTAAGACTCAAAAAGATATCGGCATGGAATGTTTCCTGTATGGATTTTTGTAGCAGGGCGCCTATCAATGGGGTTATTTCTGGGGTGACGCAATTAATAAAGGCAAATCATGTCCAATCAATTGCATTTGCCACAGGTGGACTCCAAGTTATAGAAACATCTCAAGGATGATCAATGGAAACAGGATGCACCTGAGCTCAATTTCGAGTCTCATAGCGAAGGGTCTGAATATTATGTAAATAAGGTATTTCTGTATTTTATTTTTAATAAATTAGAAAATGTAAAAAAAAAAAAAAAACAGTTTTCGCTTTCTCATTATGGGGTATTGTGTGTAGCTTGATGAGGGGGGAAAAATAATTTAATCAATTTTATAAAACGGTTGTAATGTAACAAAATGTGGAAAAGGGGAAGAGGTCTGCATACTTTCCGAATGCACTGTAAGTATGGCCAGCCGGACAAATAGGACAAGTTCAGCTGGCCGGACAGAAAGCATACTTGACCCATCTGTTGGGCCGCCAGAACATATCCAATCTATCCGGCTTGTCCTGTCTGGCAGGCCGAACTTGTAAAATCTGTCCATCCAGCTAAACGTATCCTATCTGGCCGGCAGGCTGAACTTTGTATTAATTCAAAATAAATAAAAATAGGGGGTAGATCA